GAGAGAGAGAGAGAGAGAGAGAGAGACAGTTTCCCCCAAAGTGAGCTGTTCTCTCTCTTACCCTCCCTCCGTCACCTTCCCCCTTATCACCCTTGTCACCCAGCGTGAAAGTGACCCATTTCTCCCCATAGTTCATCGCTGTAGTGTTCTCTTGGTCGATATAAACCTTAATGGGCAATTTAGATTCCATTTTCTCGAGCGATTTTCATTTTGTAATTCGTCATTTTGTTCACTATTCTCTTGGGTGATTTTGAGTTTTTTTTGACAATGTGTCCAAGATGTTTTATAAGGCTATGTGTCCTCGAGTGCATGTTGTCCTCGAGTGCATGTTGTCCTCGAGTGCATGTTGTCCTCGAGTGCATGTTGTCCTCGAGTGCATGTTGTCCTCGAGTGCATGTTGTCCTTGAGCCTCGAGTGTAGTAATGTTATGTGTCCTTAAGTGCCTGTATCCTTAAGTGCCTGTATCCTTGAGTGCCTCTATCCTTGAGTGCCTGTATCCTTGAGTGCTTCTATCCTTGAGTGCCTGTATCCTTGAGTGCCTGTATCCTTGAGTACCTCTATCCTTGAGTGCACTAATGCCTTGAGTGCCTCTATCCTTGAGTGCCTGTATCCTTGAGTGCCTGTATCCTTGAGTGCCTGTATCCTTGAGTGCCTGTATCCTTGAGTGCCTGTATCCTTGAGTGCACTAATGCCCCGTGTCCTCCAATGCACTGAGGCCGTGTACGAAATGTTTCGTTCATTTATCTCATAATATATAAGTTTAATGATATAATTATATACACACAGGCTGTTATGTCGTTAAAAATAACGACACCAATCCTTTTAAAAATTGTAGGCACCAGAACGACGGTTTAACGACGCTGGTCGTTTATATACGCGTTCGTTTTAGGTCGTTGGCTGTTGATAAACCGCCCCCCCCATAGGTTTAACGAGTCGTTGATATCCCCATGGGTTTAACGACGTGATATCGACATACCCACGGGTTAAACGACGTGATATCGACATACCCACGGGTTTAACGACGTGATATCGACATACCCACGGGTTTTAACGACGTGATATCAACATACCCACGGGTTTAAGAACGAGTAGTTGATATATCTATGGGTTTAACGACGTTATATCGACATACACACGGGTTTTTTAACGACTTGATATCGACATACCCACGGGTTTTAACGACGTGATATCGACATACCCACGGGTTTAACGACGTGATATCGACATACCCACGGGGTTTTTAACGACGTGATATCGACATACCCACGGGTTTAAGAACGAGTAGTTGATATATCTATGGGATTAACGACGTTATATCGACATACACACGGGTTTAACGACGTGATATCGACATACCCACGGGTTTAACGACGTGATATCGACATACCCACGGGTTTAACGACGTGATATCGACATACCCACGGGTTTAACGACGTGATATCGACATACCCACGGGTTTAACGACGTGATATCGACATACCCACGGGTTTAACGACGTGATATCGACATACCCACGGGTTTAACGACGTGATATCGACATACCCACGGGTTTAACGACGTGATATCGACATACCCATCAACCAGGCTGTGACTCATACGTCAGGCTGCGAGCAGCCGCGTCCAACAGCCTGGTTGATCAGTCCGGCAACCAGGAGGCCTGGTCGACGACCGGGCCGCGGGGACGCTAAGCCCCGGAAGCACCTCAAGGTACCCAAAGGTTTAACGACGTGATATCGACATACCCACGGGTTTAACGACGTGATATCGACATACCCACGGGTTTAACGACGTGATATCGACATACCCACGGGTTTAAGAACGAGTAGTTGATATATCTATGGGTTTAACGACGTTATATCGACATACACACGGGTTTAACGACTTGATATCGACATACCCACGGGTTTAACGACGTGATATCGACATACCCACGGGTTTAACGACGTGATATCGACATACCCACGGGTTTAACGACGTGATATCGACATACCCACGGGTTTAAGAACGAGTAGTTGATATATCTTTGGGTTTAACGACGTTATATCGACATACACACGGGTTTAACGACGTGATATCGACATACCCACGGGTTTAACGACGTGATATCGACATACCCACGGGTTTAAGAACGAGTCGTTGATATATCCACGGGTTTAAGAACGAGTCGTTGATATATTCATGGGTTTAAGAACGAGTCGTTGATATATCCACGGGTTTAAGAACGAGTCGTTGATATATTCATGGGTTTAACGACGTTAAATGTTCTTATACATCAAAAGTCCACATTCTTGATGATTAGCAAGAATGATCACTGCAGCTCCTGGCTAATCTTAATTCCCAATCATGGCTAAGGATTATTTATAGAGCTGTTTTCATAAATAACTGGTAGGTGGGTACCAGGGGTCACTATGAGCGTTTAAATCCTGTCCAAACCTGGATTCTCTGGTTATCCAAGGGCAGGCGTCTCAATGGAGACATGATCGCAACGTTCAAGATACTGCGAGCAATCGTCAGTAACGAGGACATCGACGAATATATGTGGATGTTAATATGTCTTTGATATAATCTCTTAGATTCACTTTCGGAGGCGAGTATAAGTGTCTTGTACATAAAATGATTATTGCATTATTTTGATAACTGGATCGGCGGGGACCAGGAGCTTAATCGAGGGGGACCTCTGACAAGTCGCTGGTTTCCTGTCCCCTACCCTTGAAGCCACTAGAGATAGTGGCTCTCAGGTAAATTCAGGTAAATTCTGGTATAATTATGAGGCATTAAATTAATAATATGTAATAATATTTCGTGGGTTGACGTCCGCTCTAAGTGATTAAGTTTGATTATAACGTAAATTAACATTTATAATTTATGCTACAAATTAACGGACTGGGGGGGGGGGGATCTTTCCTTATCCGGATGTGGGATGGAGGGGATTATTCTCTCTTCCGGATAGGAGGGGGGAAGAAGAGTTTCTCCCTATCCGGATGGGGGAATTTCCCTATTTGGATGCGGGGAAGGGGGTGCTTCTCCCTATAGGGATGGGGGACGTACTGCTATTCCGATGGATAGGTAAGAGAGCCTCTTGCTATTCGAACCGAGGGTAGGGGTGAGAGGACACCTCCCACTATCCGGATGGCAAAAGGGGACACCTCTCCTATCCGGATGGGGGGAAGTTGACACTTTTCACCATCCGGATGATAAAAGGGGACTCCTCTCACTATCGGAATGATAAAAGAGGACTCCTCTCCTATCCGGATGGCAAAAGGGGACACCTCCCCTATCCGGATGGGGGGAAAGTTGATACTTTTCACCATCCGGATGGTAGAAGGGAACTCCTCTCAGTATCCGGATGGTAAACGAGGACACGTTCCACTATCCGGATAAGAGAGGGACGGGTACACCGGCCGGGATCTCACAAACGACCCCATTGCAAGCAGCTGGAAACACACGATGTATTCGCTGTTGCACTAAATCGCCTCGCCGCACGTCGCACACAATACAGCTGAATACAACCGATCGAACACAGGACACACCATTCGAACACATGCTATACTGTTCGTTCGCACATTTCGGACACAGGAAATATAGTTCGTACGAACTGTTCGGACACAGGATGCGCCAGTAGGATAAATCACGCACCGTTCGGATACAGGACGAGGTTTCGGACAGAGGACGCGGTGTTCAGAGGTGTTTTTCTGATTCTTCCTGCTCTCTCAACTCTCATTTCTCTTCTCTCCCTCTCTCTCTCTCTCTCTCCCATTTCGCTTGCCTCTCCCAGCCCACTCTCTCACCAGTGGGAAAAGGGTATATCGATGATAGTTTGTCAATAACAGAGTATCTGCTAACTCCCGTTCATTTAGTTACTATTCGTTGTCACTGGCCAGGACGCTGCCTCTTACCAACAGGGAGAGGCAACAACAGGAACCGACTGTCAATAACGGAGCATCTGCTAGCTCTTTCAACCTGTCTGTTACCACCCGTTGTCACTCTCCCTCAGGACCGCCTCTCCTCTCTCTTTTGCAGCTCCGAAATCTCGCCTTTTATGTTTCCATTTTCTCTTTCTGGAAGTGGGTCCGCGGAGGTGTTTGCGACATCAGTCGCTTTGGCCTCTCAGCGTCTTGTCGCATTTCACATCCAAGGGGTTTAGGACGCCAAACTTCACCGTAGCTCTACGGTGAGCCTCCGGCTGAGACAACTTCACCGTAGCTCTATGATTGGGCCTCCGGTTGGGACAACTTCAGTGCTGTTTTGATGCTAAACTTCAGCGTAGTGCCTCCTAAATTCTTACGGCCCCAGCTGCGACTTAAGTTCTGTTTGGCGCCAAATATGAAGCGTCTTGAGTGATGCTGGGCCTCTGTGTGGAGTTACGAGCCTCTGCTTGCAGGCAACTGGTTCATGGTGTTATTCGTGGGGTGATGAGTTTATCTGTGATTTTTATTTGTGTTTTTCTTCACCCCATGTTACCTCAAAAGTTGTTTTGAGTTGAGACTTGACTGGAAACTCTGTCGAGTGTTAGAGTGAATATTATTTTCACGTGTATGTTGACTCATGTGTCTATTAGCACTCTGGCGGAGAGGCAGACACTATTTCTCTCTTACACTCTCTCTCTCTCTCTCTCTCTCTCTCTCTCTCTCTCTCTCTCTCTCTCTCTCTCTCTCTCTCTCTCTCTCTCTCTCTCTCTCTCTCTCACCTCTCTTTCCCCTTCCCTCTCTCTCTCTCTCTCTCTCTCTCTCTCTCTCTCTCTCTCTCTCTCTCTCTCTCTCTCTCTCTCTCTCTCTCTCTCTCTCTCTCTCTCCTAATCTTTCCATTAATTTCAATGTGTCCTGAAGTAATATGACCGTCTTATCCCTCCTAAATACTTACTGCACTCACTTCAACTCCACAACTGTGAGTTTCTCAAGCAGCAAGAGTGCTGTAATCTACGCTACGACCACTGACGCGACCATGGAAGGCCCTGACGACCATGGAAGATGCCCAGACGACCATGAAAGACTCAGACGACCATGGAAGATGCCCAGACGACCATGGAAGAGGCCCAGACGACCATGGAAGATGCCCAGACGACTATGAAAGACTCAGACGACCATGGAAAATGCCCAGACGACCATGAAAAATGCCCAAACGACCATAAAAGATACCCAGACGACCATGTAAGACTCAGACGACCATGGAAAATGCCCAAATGACCATGAAAGATACCCAGACGACCATGTAAGACTCAGACGACCATGGAAAATGCCCAGACGACCATGAAAAATGCCCAGACGACCATGAAAGATACCCAGACGACCATGGAAGATGCCCAGACGACCATGTAAGAGACATAAGAGGCCTGAGAGGACCATTACAGTTTTACACTAAGGGGAAAATATATATTTTCATCCCTCCAATGAAGACTTTTCCTCAATAACTTTAGTGTTAAATAATGTTAACTATCTTCCCTTCCTTTCCAATAAATCTGGATATTGTGGATAATTTTCCAGGATGTCTCACCATTTCTTTTCCTTCCTCTCCCATCCCCAAATCCTTATCCTAATCCCTTCCAAGTGCTATATAGTCATAATATCTTGGAGCGCTCTCTTGATAGTTTCCTTTCATTCTCCTGAAGGGTTTTGAAAGCTCTAAATAGGGGGCTCTGATTCTGGAGATCCTAACAAGGGGCTCAGACTCTAATTATCAAAACAGGGGGGATCTGGGGCTATGCTCTCCCCCCCTCGTAGCCATAACAAACACTTTTATGCCTGTCTATGGCTGTTTCTGGCTCGCAGAATGGTCCTACCATCTTGAAGTAGTAACGAATAGCTTAGGCTCGTATATGGAATCCTATGAGGGTGGTTATCTTGAGATGATTTCGGGGCTTAGCGTCCCAGAAGCCCTCGACCAGGCCTCCTTTTTGTTACACACCCTCAGGAAGCAGCCCGTAGCAGCTGTCTAACTCCCAGGTACCTATTTACTGCTAGGTAACAGGGGCATCTGGGTGAAAGAAACTCTGCCCATTTGTTTCCGCCTCCACCGAATTGAACCCGGAACCTCAGGACTACGAATCCGAAGCGCTGTCCACTCAGCTATCAGACCCCAGGTGAACACAATCCTGTGAGAACGGAGAGAGCGTAATAATATATATGATCTTCTTGAGAGGTTATCTTGAGATGATTTCGGGGCTTTAGTGTCCCCGCGGCCCGGTCCTCGACCAGGCCTCCACCCCCAGGAAGCAGCCCGTGACAGCTGACTAACACCCAGGTACCTATTTTACTGCTAGGTAACAGGGGCATAGGGTGAAAGAAACTCTGCCCATTGTTTCTCGCCGGCGCCCGGGATCGAACCCGGGACCACAGGATCACAAGTCCAGTGTGCTGTCCGCTCGGCCGACCGGCTCCCATTGATTGTCGCTCTTTATGCCAAAAATATATAATAGGTGAGAAAGAGGAATGTAATAGGTTTAATAGCTTTCTATTACCTGCACAAAACTAGGTGAATAGAAGTGACCCTGCATATAATGTTGTTAATGGCGACTGTATGACTTAGCAGTTTGGGCAATGTATAATGTATATTATTCTCTGAATAATATACATCGACTAATCCCCGATCAACTCTCTTCCAATAGAGCTTCCCTCTTTCCATACCATCGTTCAATAGAGTCCCCATTTCCCCCATTACTGAATAGAACCCTCTATCTCTTACCATCCCCGAATAGAACCCCTCTATCTCTTACCATCCCCGAATAGAACCTCTCTATCTCTTACCATAACCGAATAGGACCCTCTATCTATTACCATTACTGAATTGAACCCTCTATCTATTACCATTACTGAATAGAACCCTCTATCTATTACCATTACTGAATAGAACCCTCTATCTCTTACCATCAGCGAATAGAACCCTCTATCTATTACCATTACTGAATAGAACCCTCTATCTCTTACCATCACCGAATAGAACCCTCTATCTATTACCATTACTGAATAGAACCCATCTATCTATTACCATCAGCGAATAGAACCACTAATACACCCATCACCAATAGAGTCCCTTCATCACACCAACACTCAATAGAACCTCCTCTTCCCCACTATCACCCAATAGAGCCCCCTCTATTCTCTCCCCACCATTACCAAATAGAGCTCCTACTCTACCCTCTATTACTCTCCAACGCCCTTCGCCACCCCCTGCTCCACACTAGCATGATTGATGAGCTAACTTAAAATAAAATCCCTTGAGATGCTTCGTAATAAATTTATCAGATGGCTTAAGCTGCTACATTTATAGTCAGGGAAAACACTGGTAGATCTATCTACTTCACCTGGTTGCTTCTCAGTGTTCGTCATGTGTTTCTGATACATAGGTTTACATATATAAATATGTATTTGTAATATTTATGTGTATTTGTTTCATACGTTGGGTTTTAAGGGGTTAATTTTACCTCTGGGGGAAAAAGCACATAACATACACACACACACACACACACATACACACACACACACACACACACACACACACACACACACACACACACACACACACACACACACACACACATATATGTTATAGAGCCCAGTAGGCTCAGGAACCTGTACACCTGTTGATTGACGGTTGAGAGGCGGGACCAAAGAGCCAGAGCTCAACCCCCGCAAGCACAATTAGGTGAGTACAATTAGGTGAGTACACACACACACACACACACACACACACACACACACACACACACACACACACACACACACACACACCTTGAAAACTCATGGTGGACAGGTTACCGAATTTTCAAACCTCCTCTCTCTCCACACCCAAATTATTTTCCAGAATTTCACCTCCCCCATCCCTTACTCCCCATCCTACTTCCTCCCCCATCCTTTCCAAACCATTTGGGCTTCAAATCCAAAATCCTCGAACACATTTTTTAATCACAGAAGGCCGTGGAATGAAATCTTTTGTTTTAGTTCAGGAAATGAAAGAGAGAGAGAGATTATGAACACTGAACATGTTCACAGATATACTGACTGGCCACACACAGTGTACAATGGAGACAATATCTATCCTGGGGCTCTCTCACTCTCTCAGTGTCCTCGAGTTGAATAGAGAAAAATTGACTCCCAGACTTGGTCGAAATTGATTCTTCCTCTGCTCTTTCAGCTGAGTCCTGATGCAATAGCATTAGTAAGAGGGAATAGAAGCCCTAAATCAGAAAATAGTATATACAGAATATGCTGTCAAATAGACATTTATGTCTCTCCTAGTTTTGACAGTGAAGGATAGCTGCCATATAAACTAGTGTATTATTAAGCACTTTACCACTGAAGGTGATTAAGGTGCTTTTACAAGCTCAGGTTACAGTTACATCACATTCACTGTAATTGCAGTGAGTAATCATCAACACTGTGGGTGTAGTTGGGTGGATTCTACTGTGGGTGTAGCTGGGTGTATCCTGGTGGTCTCACATTGATAATTTTGTCCTTGAGAGAGGAGTGCCAGCCTTAAATGCTGGCCGGCACAGTGCCACTCATCATGTAATCCTCCGCTTGGCCGTCGCACGCGCTTTGGCGCCTAGATGAGCTGCAGAAACAGGTCCCTCTTGCTACAGTGTCGAGAGAGAGAGATCGAGATCGAGAGAGAGAGAGAGAGAGAGAGAGAGAGAGAGAGAGAGAGAGAGAGAGAGAGAGAGAGAGAGAGAGAGAGAGAGAGAGAGAGAGAGAGAGAGGGAGGTACCTCCCACTACCTATTGTTCATTCCTAACTTCTCATTTACAAATTAAACTTGTAAATACATTAACTTAGATATCTTGTTTGCTGACAGTAATGTTATCTTGAGCATATCTTCCTGTTATATTATTTTTAGCAATATCTAGGCCATAAATATGCTATCCTTTACTGCTTCTCTTCCTAAACAACAAGAAATTATCCTATATACATAAAAGGGAAGGTCGAGAGGAGACATGATCACTACACACAAGATACTGAGAGATGTAATAACTAATAGCATTACAGAGATGTATAGATCATCACAAATGTGCTACAGAGAAGTAATGACCCACACAAGTGCATTAAAGTGATGTATTGACCTACTTTTAACTGGTTATTTTCAGAATAAGCTCAAATTAACACTTAGATCCAACAGAGTTATAAGTAATTTACAATAATGATAGACCAGATACACAAATGTGAAGAGGCGGGCCCCAGGAGCTAATTGTCCCCTTCCTGAAAGCATATATTGGTAATATCATATAGGTAAGAACACTATCGTAGGTGGATAAAAAAAATGTATTTCTCTGAGAAAGGCGGGATTCGGAGCTATCGCTCAACCCGGTCAGGACTTATAGGTGATCACACACACACACACACACACACACACACACACACACACACACACACACACACACACACACACACACACACACACACACACACACACACACACACACACACACACACTGGAGGCTGACTCCATACACAGTTTCAAATGTAGATGTGATAGAGCCCAGTAGGCTCAGGAATCTGTACACCAGTTGATTGACGGTTGAGAGGCGGGCCCAAAGAGCCAGAGCTCAACCCCCGCAAGCACAACTAGATGAGTACACACACACACACCGTAACAAATGGGCAAGGACATGTATTTTGTTATATTTTCAACCATAAATCATAGTTTCTCAAAGGTCGTAAATCAGAGGTTAACATTCTGCCTGGTTCAGAGTATGTTGTGAATAATGCTGGCGGCTGTACTCTCCTGATTGAGCTCGCGGTGGACCTTCAGCTCTGTGGTCCCGCCTCTCAACCATCAGTCAACAGGTGTCCAGTTTCCCAAGTCAATTGACTTGGGGGCCAGAGTCACGAAGCAGTTACGCAAGCACTTAAGAAACGTGTATATCTTTCCTCAATCTTTGACGGCTTTGGTTACATTTATTAAACAGTTTACAAGCATGAAAACTTGCCAATCAACTGTTGTTATTGTTATAAACAGCCTCCTGGTGCTTCGGAGCTCATTAACTGTTTAATAATTGTAAACAAAGCCGCCAAAGATTGAGAAAAGATGTACAGATTCGTCAGTGCATGTGTAACCGCTTCGTGAATCTGGCCTCAGGTCATAGGTTTATATGAAGCTGTGTATATCGTTCTGCCTCCACCATTTCAATTGGTAGGTCATTCCAGTTGTTCCTTAC